AAACATTAATTAATTCAGAAATTTTATTCCATAGTGTTATACTTGATATATCAGATGAATTTTTTCCTGGCGAAGAAGATAAAAAATCATATGGCTCACCTGATAGTTGAGAACTTGGAAGTGTAGTTTCAGGGTTCAAACCTACGTTTGCAGAAGATAGTTCAGGAGAAGTTCTTTCGACGTGTAAATTGTAATCAGTAATTAACCTGGTATTAGTGGTCGAAGCAGTTTCCTTTCTACTAGTTGATTTTGACTTTTGAAGTGGTGGTCTTCCTCTTTTAATTGGCGAGCGTTGCATATTAATTATGTTGATAAATTTTCCAACAACTTATAATGTTAACACACAGCCCAAACAAATAAAATTTTAACGTAAAATTATTAAACAGGATACATTCTTTACCTGTATTTGAAGTGAGTAAAAAAAACGCGCCAGCAGCTTCAGCAGACAGAAGCGCCCCCTAATTATGTATATATTTTGTAAATGCAGGGTTGTGTGTTTTAAAATTCAAATTTCATATTAGTTTAATCTTTAGAACCTGAAGCTGGCCTTTTACATAACTGAAAATATTTGTTCAAATATAAAGCTTTACCTTCTCAAAGGTTGGCGTTTTATAATTTATCTTGAATAATACAGAATTTTCGTGAGGCTATCAGGAAAAAAGCTGGTAATTGACAAAATCTTTCATTGAATATTTACTTTGGAATGTTTTCTATAAAAACAATCAACTATTTGTTATGACATTGTCACAATGACGGGCTTCAATTTTTAATTTATTTTATTTAATTTGAAGTGGAGAGCATATATTTTAGTGTTTTGTCTCTGTACATCATACTTTTTCTGTTACAATAGTCGTGCTGGTCATCTATCTAATTCCTTTCAGAGAAAAATTTTTGAATTGAAATAACATGACTTCTGGTACAAACTAAAAGTTTGTATATACAGTAGTTAAGCAGGGCCTCCTGCTCCTAAGCTTTCCATATCTGGTCCCGACTTTCATCCATCTAACTCTGTTCTCAAGATTAAGGAAGGACAGACAACAGGTGACAATGGGAATTTATAGATATACAAATTTTAAATTTTAGCCCAATAAGTAAAAAACTCCCCTCCAGAACTTTTAACACCAATGTTGTCTCTTACAGCTGGGGAAATTGTTATGTTAAAAGAAGTAAGGTTGATATTTATCATTTATAACAAATATCAACATCCAGTATTGTCAATAAAATTTCATATTTTATCAGTTTGGTATATTAATATTGATATTGTGAATATGTATCAGTTTCAATTTGAACAGTTCTGTGCCAATGTTTTAAAGTGAATTATTAATTTCTTAGCTCATTTCCATTTTTATTTAAGAATTATATGATTGCTGAAATAAATGTTTAAAAAAAACTATGAAAAAGTAATATTGCAAAAATAAGTAAGTAAAACTGGTTAATTTATTATGGTTTTCTTATTGGTGGTAATAAAGTAGCAAATAAACAAAAACGTTTTTAATTTTTTTTCTTGTTTTTTGTGTTAATGTTGTAATTCTTAGTAATAGCAGGCAATTATGCTGTAAGTACTTTAAAATGCTGTGTAGTCTCAGGTCAGATATTAAATTCTTGTGTGTTATTAATTTACACTGTTTTCTGTAAACAAGCTACTGTTATCCTAGTGACTATAAATTTCAAGACCTATCTTAAAATCTTTATATATAAACTCAATGCTTTTCAATAATTCATATTTCTTGTTATTTGATAATTTTTGATGTTGATCAAAAATTTGGTTTAGCACAGCCCTAACAAGTATTCCGATTTTCTGCTTAATTTCAGTGCTGTTTTATATATGTAAATTAATATGTTGACTGTCAAATACAAGATGAATCAGTTTGTGATCTGTTTAATGATGAGTTGTCCAGAAACAGATTGAGAAGACTACCATTCCCCCCTCCAAAAATTGCTGTTATTGTGTATATATATACACATATACACGTGTGTGTGTATTTGTGTATTGTTATTTACATTATCTGTAATGATTTTAGTTCAATCACTTTATTCTAATCTTTTGCTAATAATGTATTCGCTTTAATTAATTAGTTAGAAATTTTATTGTATTTTAATTAAACTCTACGTATAATTTATCTTTTTTTTTTTTCTTTGAACCCACATCTTGAAGATACCATGATTGTTTATATCTGGACCAAAGTTGTAAGAGGAAATTTGCCTATTTTTCTGATTTTAGGGACTTTCCTATATAAATTTGTAATAATATCAACTTGGAATAACTTAGAGAAACAAATTAGAATATGAAGTTTATTAATTAGCAGCAATAAATCTTACAACATGCGAGGAAAAGATGAGAGGGCAATTAAGTAATTAAATTTATTTGTAGAACAATATAGCTTAAAGGAAGTGGGAAAAATCCCATTTCCCGTTTTTCCCCTCCCCACCGATCATAGCGGCGATTGAACACCACTCCAAGGCACGAAAAGTACAAAGCTTAACAGTAACCAAAACAGTCGATGAATAATGATGGAAACTATCAGTGATGATGTCTGTTGAGTTTGACATTGTCACTATCTAAAGTCAAGGAAGAGTTAAAATGGTTTTGCTATGGTAATGACTCAGCTCAAAAGTCAAACCAATAATAATTGTAAATCATATGATGACTCGCCTGAGCTGAAAGGTGTATAAAAGAGGCCCAAATCCAGGCATCAGAGAGCTCCTCAGCAGACAACAGTAGAAAACACCAGCCTTGCCAGACTTCCAATGAATCATCCCATACAAGGAAGGCATCAACGGCAGATAACAATAGTAGACATAAGTGGACCCATCCTGCCATAATCACAAAGAAATTTCAACTAGAAGTGAACTCCATTTACTGGTGGACATCAGTGAAGGACCAAGCAAAAAGGAAGAAGGAACTAGATCAAGAGACTGACCAGCCCTACGAGAAAAGGCTGCTCTCTTTTTCCTGGTATGTTGTAGTTCGGATACCCCATTAGGCAGCCCCCTCACTTTATAGATAGAAATAGGCAATTTCTTGAATTGGATTTTAAGAATATTATCCAGAACCTAATTTTCGATAATAAACTCTTATTATTTGTATTTTAACTTTACATTCATCCTCCTAAGAGGTTCTTTCCTGGACTTTGGAGTGACTCTTATCCTCACGCTGTAACTATCTGTTTGTGTCAAAATCAGCAGTGTGTCTGACAAAATACATCTGGTGTCAGAACTCTATCCTAACTTAATGTAATCTAACTTTTGATGGCCCCCTGACCCTCACAAGATTGTAATCTATAAATTATCTTTTAAAATTCAGTCTTGCCTTTATTATTAGAAACAAATATATTTTTAGCAAATAGAGGATGTTTATAATAGATTGTTGGCATCTAAAATAAGACTGAAAAATAAATTGTAAACAGATTAACGAATATTGAAATTCATCTTTAATTATAATTTTCTTTGCAGTGTTTGGCATTTTATTTTCAGTCAACACATCCAATGATTTTTCTCCCTCTGAATTTTAACTTTTTATTGTTGGATTGGTTATTTAATGAAACAAATGTATATAATGCCATTTTATGGTTTTTCTTAGTGCTGAATGATAAGAAAGAACTCTTTACTTCATAAGTCTATGCCAGGCACTTTATTTTTATAATCTCTAATTATTCATAATTTTATGTGTATTCATCAAAATCTTATACTGTATGCCAAATATCAGATAGCTTGTATGTATGTATATATGTGTGTGTATATATATATATTTTTTATAATTTCATAAACCTTAACATATCAATTGTCACCATGTCATTGGATGAAATGCTCTCCAATGCTATTCTCAGTTAGGTATATCATTGTATATTACACTCAATTTATAACATTTATTCTTCAGCCAAACTCACAATTAATGTTATATGTTGTGTGTAATATACAATGATATGCCTAACTGAGAATAGCATTGGAGAGCATTTCATCCAATTACATGATGACAATTGATATGTTAAGGTTTATGAAATTATATAAAGATTATATATAAAATTGTTTTTCCAATACAATTATAAATCCAATTACTTTGTAATTGGAATTATTTTTAAATATAACCTTTCATTCTTTTAAACTCATACATTTGAAAGAAAATTTCTAATTTTAAAATTATATGTTACCTTTATTTAGCTTTTAGTAAGAGAAGGATGTAACTTAAATATCCCAGATAAAGATGGTGATACACCACTTCATGAAGCTCTTCGTCATCATACATTATCACAGCTTCGACAGCTACAAGATTTGCAAGAAGTTGGTAAGGTAGGAAGTGCAAATGAAGCTGGTCCTCTTTGTGGTACTACTGAGGTGAGAATTTTAGAAATTTAAGTATATCATTATTTATTATTTGAATATAATAGTAATAATGCATTTTAAACCTTTATTAGTTGTACTGGAGATAAGATTATACTATATTGTCTTCAAATAACAGCAAATAATTTTTTACATTTAACAACTTTTCTTTAAAAATACAATAAATATTAAAATTAAAGTACATATTTGAATAAATATAATTAAAAATATCTTAAATTTATATTTATTTGTTTACTTTTCCATTAAAAATATCTTAAATTTATATTTTTAGTTATTAATGGGTTTAGGAACACAAGGAGCAGATAAAAAAAGTAGTGCCTCAATTGCCTGTTTCCTTGTATCTAATGGTGCTGATCTAAACATAAAAAATAAAAAAGCTCAAACTCCACTAGATTTATGTCCTGATCCAAACTTATGTAAAGCATTAACCAAATGTCATAAAGAAAGATCAAAGTAAGTATTATTATTAATTAAATCATATCATTTTAAAAGTGTTTTTAAAGTTAGGAATTGAAATAAAATTATAAAAATAAAGTAATGATTTCTCTGAATTCATTATTTAAGTATCCAAAATTGTTCCTGAATACTTGAATTTCAAATAACTTTGGTAATAAATAAATATAAAGAGGAACAAAGAACTTTGTCTTACTTTCTAGATTTCAAATAATTAAAAATTTCATCTGATTTATTTAAAAATAATTTTTATATATTATTGAATATACAGTCAATTCTGCTTAATTGGGACACATCAAGACCTGACTAAGTGGCTGTCTCAATAAAGTGAATTTTATGAGAACAGAGAAAATAAAAAATGAATACTGAAGACAAAACTATTGAAAAATATAATTAATGTGAATACATATATTAATATGTAAATAGCCAAGACTTAGCATGCTTTTCAATGACTATCAACTTCTGTTTGTTACTTCCTGACTTATTACAGCAGCACAATGCAATAATGCAATCCACTGCTTTTTTCCAACCTGATGGTACTTTTTGTTTAAAACTCAGGAAACCATCAGGGATAGCATGGTAAAACAGTCCTATTTCATCTGCATTGTAGATTTGATCAGGACTAAATTTCTGCAGCAATTCAGGCAACATAGCTGATTTCCACTCTTTGGCACTTTTAGTGTCAGCAATGTTTTTTTCACTATGTTATTTATTCTTAAATTTTATTTCATGACTGGTTTTTCATTTTGTTTAATTGCTATGTGTATTGTAATTATTTTTGTAGTTCACATGCTTTTCTAAAATTTCTCCATTTTTAAATAATGAAAATAAAAATGAATTTTTAATTTTTTTAAAATCCTGCTTAATATTCTATAATTATTATAAATCTCTGCTTAAATATGAAATAAATATTTATTTAATATTTATCATCATTGTAGTAGTCAGCAACCTAGCACTTTAACTACAGCACCTCCACAAAATGATCAAGATACATTAGAAGAATGCATGGTTTGTTCAGATTTGAAACGAGATACATTATTTGGGCCTTGTGGTCATATAGCAACATGTTCACTTTGTTCTCCACGTGTTAAGAAATGTCTCATGTGCAAAGAACAAGTTCAATCAAGAACAAAAGTAAGTTATTACAGAATTTGCTAACTTACTTTCTACATAAATATAAAATTAATTTTGCAAAATTTTATTAGATTGAAGAATGTGTTGTTTGTTCTGATAAACGTGCTTCTGTTTTGTTCAAGCCTTGTGGACATATGTGTGCTTGTGATGGTATGTATTTTATTTTAAAATGATTATTATATTTTTTGTATAAGTAATTATTAATTAAATGATTGTAATAGAAAAAATTTCATTTCAGTGTTAAAATTCTGTGACTTATTTTTGACAATTTAGTTACATGAAATAAATATTGTCATTCTAAAATTATTTTTATTTATTCTTATATAATTATTTTAAATTTTAATAAAACAATATTCTTACAAAAGTGAATAAATGAATATTTACACTTCTGAAAAATAATTTTGAAAATAAAGTAACATATCTGTAACCTAGAATCACAAGTATCAAATAATTTTCTTCCATTTTGAACAGATAACTAACATTTTGAACAGAACTTTAAACTATATCAGATAAATATCAGTTACTGTATTTACTTGAATATAAGACGAACTTGCATATAGGACGAGGTGTGACTTTAAAGATCAAAATAAAGAAAATTAGATTTATTAATACAATTCTAATTTTATTTCATTTAATCACAAGTAAAATATCAAATGAATATAATGCACACATTGTCCCACAAAAATTACTAGCATTTTAAACTTTAAGGAAAATCTTGTAAAATTGACATAATTTGTTCACAAAAAGCTTGACAATGGGGAACCCTTTTTTGCCAATTCTTAACAGTCAAATTCACTCTCTGTTCGATTACACTTATGAGTTTCTCCAAATTCTGATTTCCTAATAATCATCTGTTTTCATGTGGAAATGGATTAAAACCATATTGGGCTCCTGTGTGATCTTGGAATTTCAATCTTGAATTCAATTCAAAAGCTTTGCTTTTCCTATTGCTATTCGTCTTTACTCCTGACAATATAAAAGAATGATTCAAATGACCCAGATAAAATACTTATGTTTTTAAATACAAGAGGGTAAGTATTCGATAAAAAAAGGCAAATACACTTTATAAAAATTATTTGCAAAAACATAGACTGTTTCACTTGTACGTATAGGACAACCTAGGAATTTGAAGCTGTGATAAATGAATAAAAACCTCATCTTATATGCGAGTAAATACAGTATGTCATTTTCATATAAGGGATTGCATGGTAAAACAGTACTATTTCATCTGCATTGTAGATTTGATCAGGACTAAATTTCTGCAGCAATTCAGGCAACTTAGTTGATTTCCACTCTTTGTCACTTGTAGTGTCAGCAATGTTTTTTTCACTATGTTATTTATTCTTAAATTTTATTTCATGACTGGTTTTTCATCTTGTTTAATTGCTATGTGTATTGTAATTATTTTTGTAGTTCACATGCTTTTCTAAAATTTCTCCATTTTTAAATAATGAAAATAAAAATGAATTTTTAATTTTTTTAAAATCCTGCTTAATATTCTATAATTATTATAAATCTCTGCTTAAATATGAAATAAATATTTATTTAATATTTATCATCATTGTAGTAGTCAGCAACCTAGCACTTTAACTACAGCACCTCCACAAAATGATCAAGATACATTAGAAGAATGCATGGTTTGTTCAGATTTGAAACGAGATACATTATTTGGGCCTTGTGGTCATATAGCAACATGTTCACTTTGTTCTCCACGTGTTAAGAAATGTCTCATGTGCAAAGAACAAGTTCAATCAAGAACAAAAGTAAGTTATTACAGAATTTGCTAACTTACTTTCTACATAAATATAAAATTAATTTTGCAAAATTTTATTAGATTGAAGAATGTGTTGTTTGTTCTGATAAACGTGCTTCTGTTTTGTTCAAGCCTTGTGGACATATGTGTGCTTGTGATGGTATGTATTTTATTTTAAAATGATTATTATATTTTTTGTATAAGTAATTATTAATTAAATGATTGTAATAGAAAAAATTTCATTTCAGTGTTAAAATTCTGTGACTTATTTTTGACAATTTAGTTACATGAAATAAATATTGTCATTCTAAAATTATTTTTATTTATTCTTATATAATTATTTTAAATTTTAATAAAACAATATTCTTACAAAAGTGAATAAATGAATATTTACACTTCTGAAAAATAATTTTGAAAATAAAGTAACATATCTGTAACCTAGAATCACAAGTATCAAATAATTTTCTTCCATTTTGAACAGATAACTAACATTTTGAACAGAACTTTAAACTATATCAGATAAATATCAGTTACTGTATTTACTTGAATATAAGACGAACTTGCATATAGGACGAGGTGTGACTTTAAAGATCAAAATAAAGAAAATTAGATTTATTAATACAATTCTAATTTTATTTCATTTAATCACAAGTAAAATATCAAATGAATATAATGCACACATTGTCCCACAAAAATTACTAGCATTTTAAACTTTAAGGAAAATCTTGTAAAATTGACATAATTTGTTCACAAAAAGCTTGACAATGGGGAACCCTTTTTTGCCAATTCTTAACAGTCAAATTCACTCTCTGTTCGATTACACTTATGAGTTTCTCCAAATTCTGATTTCCTAATAATCATCTGTTTTCATGTGGAAATGGATTAAAACCATATTGGGCTCCTGTGTGATCTTGGAATTTCAATCTTGAATTCAATTCAAAAGCTTTGCTTTTCCTATTGCTATTCGTCTTTACTCCTGACAATATAAAAGAATGATTCAAATGACCCAGATAAAATACTTATGTTTTTAAATACAAGAGGGTAAGTATTCGATAAAAAAAGGCAAATACACTTTATAAAAATTATTTGCAAAAACATAGACTGTTTCACTTGTACGTATAGGACAACCTAGGAATTTGAAGCTGTGATAAATGAATAAAAACCTCATCTTATATGCGAGTAAATACAGTATGTCATTTTCATATAAGGGATTGCATGGTAAAACAGTACTATTTCATCTGCATTGTAGATTTGATCAGGACTAAATTTCTGCAGCAATTCAGGCAACTTAGTTGATTTCCACTCTTTGTCACTTGTAGTGTCAGCAATGTTTTTTTCACTATGTTATTTATTCTTAAATTTTATTTCATGACTGGTTTTTCATCTTGTTTAATTGCTATGTGTATTGTAATTATTTTTGTAGTTCACATGCTTTTCTAAAATTTCTCCATTTTTAAATAATGAAAATAAAAATGAATTTTTAATTTTTTTAGTACATATGTAAAAAAAATACTACTAGGTTTAATCTAAATTACTCCAAAATGATTCCAACTAAAGATGGGAGTAGTCAAATGAAATAATTGAGAACTGTTCAATTGCAAAAATTTCTTGTTTCCAAGAAATTGTGCTAGGTATTCAATTACTGTGGAGAAGTGGTTCTTATGAGCTCACACAACAGTGAATAAGACAATTTCAGTACCAAAAACTAGTGTAATGCTTCACCATCAAAAATTCTAATCAGATTATTCTGCGATTTTATTTTTTAAGGAATTTAATACTCTAATTTAATTGTTTACTTCATACTCTGTAATTATCAACATGTTAATCAACTTGTTTTCAAACACACTGTACATAGCAAATTGGTAGCATTGGATTACCTTATTGTCAATATTTTTATGAGTTACTTTTGTTGCTTGTTTTTGAGAATTTAATTTTCAGAAATTCATTTGATTCTTAAAAGTATATGATTCTGCCCTTTATTAATTTTAATTTTAACATGTCATATGATCTTTAGAGATGACAAGGTTTGAAATCATTCTCAGAATACAGTTTGTCATGCTTTGCAATTTTACTGTCTATAGATGGAATCTTAATTTTGCACATATCTAGGTTAAGTTATGTTTCTTTAAGTCCTGTAATGTAGAAATGGAAAAGATTCATAAATCTTTTCCATTTCTACATTAGACAGTTTTCTGACTTATAGTAAGATTTAAAATAAAAATTCTTCAAAATGGAGCAATTTTCTTTCATTTAGGCATGTTTCCATTTTATTTCATTGTTTCTTGTTCTCTTTTTAAGATTTTTGAAAATGAGCCTAAAATTGCTTTGGACATATTACACAGAAACTCTTAGGTGATTTATAATTAAATATTCCTGGAGGTAGACATTAGGTACCATCTCTTGATAAATTAAATAATTAATTTAATTTAAAAGGTTCTGGAAGTAAAGAATTAGCCCAAAGCAGGACTCGAACCCACAATTCCCATGCAGTTGTGTTGGCAGTTATGCTACTCAGACCTTCATCTAATCTTCATTTTTAGAATTATTAATTTAGATGCAATCATAATAGTTACTCACAGGGCCGACTAGAGACAATTCAGCACCCATGACCTATAACTTCCACTGTAGCACTGTGAATATAAACATCCATAAACCCAATTATTAGATTAAAGTCGAATGATTGCTGATTGTATCAGGTGATATAATTTGCAATTGTTTGGCTTTAATCTAATAATTGGGTTTATGGATGTTTATATTTGTAACTAAAAGTTCTTGTGTGATAGGTTCTCCAAAGCAATTTTATGCTCACTTTCAACAGGTTTCCATTTTACTCAGGTTCTGTTTCAGATAGGTTTTATTGTATCAGTTTTTTATGAAATAAGTATAGTATAACTGTCCATCTGAAAATATTAAGCAAGATAAGTAAATAAGACTATAATCAGTTAAAATTTTGGTTTTATTGACTTTAACGTCAAAAAGTCGTGTTAAAACAATTACAGAATGTATAAGTTGAAGATTTAAAAATTAAGATTATTATTAAGTGATAGTAATTTATTCGACATATGGCTGAAATAAGAAATACCAGTAATTTAAATTCTTATACCTGTACTGTAAACAAGTAATGACTAAAATTATTAAAACATATCATGTAAAGCATTTAAGTAATAACATATACATCAACACAAATACACACCAAGTGATCCACTGAATTTTCTATCTGACTATATTAAGGCTAATTAATAAATCAGATACAAAACATTTTGGTTAGGCAGTTAAGCCACCATTTCATGATGATTTAAACTTAGAAATAAATTAAATTGAAATAAGTTTAAATCATCATGAAATGGTGGCTTAACTGCCTAACCAAAATGTTTTGTATCTGATTTATTAATTTGCC